GCACTGGCTTCCTTGCGCGAGGGGCAAGCATGCGATCACTTCTGGGGCCCATTTCTGTGGGGAGGGTTGTAGCAACGGCCACCATGCTGCTCCCGGCCACTTGGGGACGACGAGTGTCAACTCGGCTTGTGTGCGCCTGGCGTGAGAGAGTGTGGCCGGGATCAAGCCGGGGGGCGGAAAGGTGAAGCACCGCTCGCCTTTCCACGAGATCGAGAACGCGTCAATTGCTGTGGCGCTTGGGTGCGGTATCTTGGAGCAAAATCGTGGCAGCTTCTTGTTGGTAATGTTCACAAAGAGGTCAATCGTGTGGGGACCCCATCGGCGTTCCAGTAGGAGGAACCATGGCATGTGCAGCGAGTAGTCGTCGTGGTCTTGGATTATAGACAGTTCGTCCGCGTGGGCATTTAGCTCCCGTGGGATCCATTCGATTGCCAGGCGTGTATGGTTCTTGAGGCAGAACTGTATGACTGCTTGACATGTCAGTGTCAGCCGAGGTTGGCTGGACCCCCCTTTGCGCAAGATAAACACGACTCCTTGGTTGTCCACGCGAACCAAAACGTGGCCGCTTTTGATGTGAGACGTGAACGTCTCTAGCACCCAGAGGACTCCCTCGAGCTCCCTTTGAGTGCTTGAGGTTGGGAGGAGCTCGCTCGGCATGCTGGCGCTTGCCTCATACGACGCGTCGGTAAACTTGGTGAGGGTGGCGCCCCAGCTGTGAGCGCTCGCGTCGACGTGGATCACGGCATCGAATTGATGGCTCAGGTGAAATGGGGCACCATTAAATTGGTCAAAGTGCAGTTGCCAGAAGATCAGCTCCTCAATGGCGGCCCGTGGCATCCAGATTCTTGACTGCCAAGATTCCGCTGCATCAATTAATTGTAGCAGCTCGTGGCAGAAGGCGCGTGTCGTCGTGCCCAATGCGAGGGACATGGAGCTCAACATTCCGGTGATACGAGCGACTTGCCGAATTGGGACTTGTTGGCCGCGTTGCCCTTTAGAGATGAGTGTGTTGAGCGTGTCCAGGAACTGTGCCCGCCGATCGGATCCGATGCCAAACATGCCGCTTTCCGTGTCAAGCTCCATCCCCAAAAACCGTGTTTGATGGGCCGGCTGGAGGTGCGATTTTTTCTCGTTGATCACAAAACCTGCCGCCCCCAAGTCGCGTAGAACCTCTGTGCATGTCTTGCGTGCTTGCTCCGCAGAGTCACAGAGGGATAGCAAGTCGTCAACATATGGGATTACGCGGACGCCACATGCTCGCCAACGTTTGGCCAATTGCTTGATCAACTGGGTGAAGACGAAAGGTGCTGTCGCCAGTCCAAACGGCAAAGCTCGGAAGCAGTAGAACTCGCCTTCGAATTGGAAGCCTAGGAATTTACAGCATGATGGGTGCATCTCAACATGGTGGTAGCCCGACTTTAGGTCAATGGTGAACAACCAGTCGTTGCGTCGAATGATCTCTGAAACCCGATTCAGGCCCTCGTATTTGAATTTGGGGACTTGGAGGTGTTGGTTGACCTTGCGTAGGTCGAGGATGAGGCGACATTTGTCGCGTTGTTCCACCACGTTGAGTGGGCTTACGCACGAGAGCGCAGTCCGCAAGGATACCTTTGTGGCCGCGCCCGACGTAATTAAGTCGCGAATGGCCTCACGAGTGAACGTGGTGTGTGCGTGAACACCCGCGTGGTTTGTTGTTTCGAAGGGTGGTTCTGTAGTTTTCCAAGGCAACCAATATCCCCTGGCAATGATCGAGATAATAAAACTGCTGCCGCACCACGATATCCACCAGTGCAGTTGGTTACGCAATCGGTTGCGCATGACCTTCACCATGTCGTCTGTGACCGCGTTCTCGTATGGGTCCCATTCCGCCGCTCGCCACTTGTCGTCTGCCACTACACGTGGGGGCAACCGGGTGTGGTGTATTGGGTGATTAGCCTTTGGTCATAAGGCCAGCCCGGGGGCTTATACATACTCGGTGCTATGCCTTCAAGATCTCCGTGTACCATCCTTCCTCCAGTCCTTCTCCTTTCCACATTCTCCCATCTCTTTCTCTCTCTCTCTCTCTCTCTCTCTCTCTCTCTCTCTCTCTCTCTCTCTCTCTCTCTCTCTTTCTCTCTCTTGCTCTCTCTCTCTATCTCTCCCTCTCTCTCTCTCGCTCTCTCTCTCTCTCTCTCTCTCTCTCTCTCTCTCTCTCTCTCTCTCTCTCCCTCTCTCTCTCTCTCTCTCTTTTTTTTTTTTTTTTTTTTTGAAGTCTCTAACGGGCTGCCTCGCATCCTTATGCGGGCCTCTTGGGCGGGTGAGGGTCTTTTTTTTTTTTTTTTTTTTTAATTCCCGAGCCTCTTGGTTCGTGAGGCCTCCTTCCGTCGCCCTCCTTCTCTCCCTCGTTCTCACCCTCTCTCCCTCTCTCTCTCTCCCTCTTTCTCTCTCTCTCTCTACACCTCTCTCTCTCCCTCCCTCGCTCTCCCTCTCCTTCTCTTTCTCTAGCTCTCTCTCCCTCTCTCTTCCGCTTTCTCCCGTTTGCTCTTCTTCTCAATCTCTGCCCCTTATTCTCACGTGTTCTTTCCTATCTCAGTTTCTGCCTCTTTCCTCCTTAGTCTTCCCTTCTAGTCAGGGGGCTGCTCGTGCTGCAAGGTTGCTGCCTTGGTTCCACTTGCCTTCTTTCTCACTCTTTTTTTTTTTTTTTTTTGAATTAAAACAAGAGAAATTCATTACTTATACTCCACACATGGGTACATAGCATGTACAACCCCCATATCCGCCCTTATGGCTAGGGATTTCTAAGTCCTTCAGCCCATACCCCATGCTAGCTACCAGCCATGCACCCTCGGTGCTCCCACCTACGCCCCCCGGCATAGTGGCAAGGGGCGTCGCCCCGTGTGCCTCCTCACACGACTGGTGAGGGGCCTTGAGCGCCTCGCCCTCCCATAGGGCAAGCATTGGCCATATGGCCGGGCTGGCCGCAGCGGAAGCACACCCCTTTGAAGCGGGGTTCGTGGCAGCTTGCGGATGGCATACCCTTGCCTTCCGTTTCGCCCTCTCGGGTAGGCATGCGATTACCGCGAGTGTAGCCGGCGCGTGCACGCTTGAGAGCCGCCACATCCGCAATTGCAAGCTTGTATGAGCGTGAGGTTAACACACTCTTGGACTGGTACAGCTGAAAGCGGTCGGCAGCTTCAAACCCCGCCTCGTCCGCTACCAAGAGGATCTCGAAGCGCTTGTGGATGAGCGATTCGATTTCCGCGACGTTGGCGAGGGCGCTTTCGACGTCGCCGTGCTGGAGCTTGAAATTGACGTGCTTCAGGTATGCCTGGATAGCAGAGAAAACCTCTGCCTGATCGCGCACGCCTTTGCGCATGAAGGTGGTGGGTGCGGGTGTGGGGTTGAGGGGTGGAAGAGAAGGTGCGGGTGCGATAATACGACGACGGGTAATGTTGTTGGGGGCCTCACCATCGTCGTTCTCTGAGTCGTCGCTGTCGTCTTGAGCGGCGATCAGTGCCGGTACGGGAGCGGGGAGTGGTGCGGCAGTGGTATCGTTGACGCGAGCAGCCTTGTTTGCGCGGGGAGCGGTGACTTCTTTCTGATTTTCGATTTTTGCAGGTGCTGAAATATAGTCGCAGGAAGTTGCGATTGTAATTGGGGCGTGCTGCTGTAACATCGAGAGCAGTGCCTGCATCTGCTGCGCAGTGAGGGACGCGAGGGGGTTGACTGGGGCGGCTTCTACTGGGGTCGCTGCCTTCTGTCGCTTCTGCAGAGTGGGCCCCGGTTGACCAGCGTCGCCGTCCGCGTCAGCCGGCGTTGACTTGACCGGAACGCGCAGCTGCCTGGCAGCCACACGCTCGTCAGCAGGAGGCACGCGCGACTGTTTCACAGTCGCGCGTGCTTCTTCATAGGGGGCTCGGGAGTTGCTCTCGAGCAGCACTTCGACGCCTGAAGTGCCCTCGCCGAAATTATCTTCAGCAGGGCGTTTTCCGCGGCGGTCGGGTGCCCCGGGCGCGTTCGCGTTGTCCGCAGCGTTATTCGGGGTAGTGTTGGTGGGAGCCATGTTCGCCAGGTTGTGTTGGAGAATGTCGGTAAGAAGGGTTGACGGGGACTTGAACCGCGGGAGAGATTGCGTCTTCGCCAGGATGAACGAGAACTAGAAAGTAAAACTAGAAAATGGAAATGAAGAACGTGGGTGGAGCTACTGGAATCATGTTCCTCTTTTGTAGGCAAAAGAGGGGTGAGTAGCGTCGAGCCGCTACCTTTGCTTTGCTGGCCACGCCCTCGCTTTCACAATACGAAATTTGAAAAAGTGTTACACTTTTACAAATTATAATATATCTGAGGGCCTGGGGGGTGGGGGGGGGGGGGGGGGGGGTTACTCTCTTCAGGGTAAAACTCACTAAGACAATCGATTACACTAGGGCCAAAGTGTGCCTAAAACGTAAACCCTGAGATATCAGGAAAATCGAAGCCCCTGAAAAAAATTACCCTGATTATCAGGGTATCAGGGCGATTTACACTGAAAAAATTAGCCATACAATGGAGGGGGTTTCAGTGTACGTTCTTAGCCCATGTCAAGTTTCCTGATACAAGGCTATCAACGGCTCCGATCGTTCCACGTCATCATCAATCAAATCCAAACCCTTGACAGCTTCATGTTAGCCTGCTTGACATGGGCTTAGAACGCACCCTTATATCCGGGGGTTTACGACAGGTATGTATTATCAGTGGCTTGTTCACGTCCTGGTCAATTGCACTTGTTGAGTAGTTGGATGGATTGTGGAGGTCTTCAACTGCAGTCTTTTCCTAATAGATGTTCTGAGGTCCTATCCCTTGGTGTTCCAGGATCCCTTACTCTCAGATTGACCACCAATAATAGCACTTGGCAACACACTGAACCCAGCTACAAAGGTAGCCTTATTTTAAACCAGCTTCACATTCTTAGATGCAATAAAAAACTACAAAAAATAAAGAGACATGATTACGGTATGAGAGGCAATGTGTGGGCCCGTGAGCGGTCACAGCTTGGAAGGAGTGGTTGTGGGCAGGCCTGGGGAGACACATTGTGGGAGAGGGGAGGCATGGAAGAGGGGGAAGGGTGGAAGGGGATGGGGGAAGAATATAGGTGAGCAGGATAAACGGGTGGTTGGGGGGAAGAGCCAAACTGGAAAGCGGAACTTGGAAGGATCATGATTCACGAACGGAAACACAAAATCACACCCCATGCACCACATGCGCCACATGCACCACATGCACCACATGCACCACATGCACCACATGCACCACATGCACCACATGCACCACATGCACGCACATAACTGCTCAACATTCACGCTGCTGTGGCACAACTTGCACCACTCGTCCACACACCATCCACCACACAGCATACACCATACACCATACGCCAGACACCGCACCTAGCTGCTTGGCGTTGACGATGCTGGGGCACGCCTTGGGCGGCGGGTGGGTGGGGTCGAGGAAGGGCAGCACATCGTTGGGGTTGTGCCACACGGGGTAGCCCTGTAGCTGTGACTGCGGGGAGCATAAAGGGGGTTCGGAAAGAGAGAGCGATGGTTGTGTGTGAGGGAAAAGGGGAGGGGTGTAAACATGCAAGGGCAGCACGTCGTTGGGGTTGTGCCACACGGGGTAGCCCTGTACCTGTGACTGCGGGGGAGCATAAAGGGGGTTCGGAAAGAGAGAGCGATGGTTGTGTGTGAGGGAAAAGGGGAGGGGTGTAAACATGCAAGGGCAGCACGTCGTTGGGGTTGTGCCACACGGGGTAGCCCTGTAGCTGTGACTGCGGGGAGCATAAAGGGGGTTCGGAAAGAGAGAGCGATGGTTGTGTGTGAGGGAAAAGGGGAGGGGTGTAAACATGCAAGGGCAGCACGTCGTTGGGGTTGTGCCACACGGGGTAGCCCTGTACCTGTGACTGCGGGGGAGCATAAAGGGGGTTCGGAAAGAGAGAGCGATGGTTGTGTGTGAGGGAAAAGGGGAGGGGTGTAAACATGCAAGGGCAGCACGTCGTTGGGGTTGTGCCACACGGGGTAGCCCTGTAGCTGTGACTGCGGGGGAGCATCGAGGGGTTGGGGAAGGAAGGGGAAGGGAAAGGGATTGAGACAAGAAAGGAGGGCAGGTAATTGGGTTGGGCCACACCGGATGCCTCTCCAGCTTTGCCTGATGCAAAACGGGTGGGCAGCGTTAATGGGCGAGGGTGACGGGAGACAGATGGTTGGCGTGGGGTGATGGAGGGGTCTAGGTTATCAAAGGGGTGATGGAGGGGTCTGGCTCATCAAAGGGGTGGTGGAGGGGTCTAGCTCATCAAAGGGGTGATGGAGGGGTCTACCTCATCAAATGGGTGATGGAGGGGTCTAGCTCATCAAAGGGGTGATGGAGGGGTCTAGCTCATCAAAGGGGTGATGGAGGGGTCTGGCTCATCAAAGGGGTGATGGAGGGGTCTAGCTCAAAGGGGTGATGGAGGGGTCTAGCTCATCAAAGGGGTGATGGAGGGGTCTAGCTCATCAAAGGGGTGATGGAGGGGTCTAGCTCATCAAAGGGGTGATGGAGGGGTCTGGCTCATCAAAGGGGTGATGGAGGGGTCTAGCTCATCAAAGGGGTGATGGAGGGGTCTAGCTCATCAAAGGGGTGATGGAGGGGTCTAGCTCATCAAAGGGGTGATGGAGGGGTCTAGCTCATCAAAGGGGTGATGGAGGGGTCTAGCTCATGAAAGGGAGTCTGACCAATCAGGGGAAACATGACAGTTGCATGGTGACGGGTATGAGTATGTCGATTGGGGCAGCGGGGCAGAGGCAGCAAAAGAGGAAGCAAGGAGCGGCAATATACGGCACGACTCCTGATTGAAAGTGGCAGTGTGTGTCAGACGCGGTCAACAAGCAGAGAGCAGAGCAGGAGAGCAACTCACAGCAACCTTGAGAGCAGCGAGGGCTGCCATGCCTACACGCGTTTACTGAGAGACGGAGGAAGTGTGCGGCACAGCAGCATGTGTGACTGAGGTGAGCGGCACATGTGCGTGAAGAACGGCGTTCAACTCACAGCGACGTTGAGAGCAGCGAGGGCAGCCATGCCAGCGCGCGTCCATTGCGAGGCGGAGGCGATGTGCGGCACCACCACCACGTTGGGGAGCGTGGAGAGACCCGGCTTCATCAGCGGCTCGTCCTGATGTTGAACGAGGAACGGGGGGGACGAGGGGAATGGGGAGGGAGAGGGGAATGAGGAGAGAGGAACGGGGTGAATTGAGTTGGGATCAGTGGCAGGGTGTGCGGCAGGGGTGGTGGGCATGTTGACTAGTTCTGAGAATGTTCAAAAGGGAGGTTTGCGAGGTGTGGATAAGAGAAGATCGTCCTCCTGATGCAGAGTGATCGAGGCAGCACGAGTGAATTGCAGGGGGTCGTACAAGGGGCGAGAGACGGAGGGACGGATTGAAGGGGTGGATTGAAGGAGGGACGGATTCAGGGGTTTAGGGTGCTGTATTGACGGCCTATTCTAATGAAGGTCCATTCGAATAAGGGACGGATTGAATATGGAGGCACACGGGGAGTGGTGAACTCCGTGGACTGGCAGGGCGTTCAGAGTTCTGCAAGGCCATTCTCAGGCGTTCAGAGTTCTGCAAGGCTATTCTCAGGCGTTCAGAGTTCTGCAAGGCCATTCTCAGGCGTCCAGAGTTCTGCAAGGCCATTCTCAGGCGTTCAGAGTTCTGCAAGGCCATTCTCAGGCGTTCAGAGTTCTGCAAGGCTATTCTCAGGCGTTCAGAGTTCTGCAAGGCCATTCTCAGGCGTTCATGGGATTTAGGCAGGTGAGAGGCAATATGCGTAGGATGCGCTTTCAGACATCTCAACAGTTCAATCAGGGGAACGCGAGGGGGTAGCTATGCATAGGTGAGAAGCTATGATGGTGAGCTGTGCCGTGGGAGCAGTGCAGTGCAGTGCACGCACCTCGAAGACGTCGAGAGCGGCTCTGAAGGCGGGGTTGGCCTTGAGGTGCCTCACCAGCGCCACCTCATCCACCACCGGCCCCCTGCTGCAGTTCACCAGTATGGCGTCCTGCGGGGGAGGCGGGGAGCAATGATGGCCATACAACACGGAGAGATTGTGCATGGGAGACGCATGGGTGCATGGGAGAAGCATGGGTGCACACGAGGCAAGTGTGGCACCTCGTCCACCACCCTGCTGCAGGTCACCAGAATGGCGTCCTGCGGGGGAGGCGGGGAGCCATGATGGCCATACAACACGGAGAGATTGTGCATGGGAGACGCATGGGTGCATGGGAGAAGCATGGGTGCACACGAGGCAAGTGTGGCACCTCGTCCACCACCCTGCTGCAGGTCACCAGAATGGCGTCCTGCGGGGGAGGCGGGGAGCCATGATGGCCATACAACACGGAGAGATTGTGCATGGGAGACGCATGGGTGCATGGGAGAAGCATGGGTGCACACGAGGCAAGTGTGGCACCTCGTCCACCACCCTGCTGCAGGTCACCAGAATGGCGTCCTGCGGGGGAGGCGGGGAGCCATGATGGCCATACAACACGGAGAGATTGTGCATGGGAGACGCATGGGTGCATGGGAGAAGCATGGGTGCACACGAGGCAAGTGTGGCACCTCGTCCACCACCCTGCTGCAGGTCACCAGAATGGCGTCCTGCGGGGGAGGCGGGGAGCCATGATGGCCATACAACACGGAGAGATTGTGCATGGGAGACGCATGGGTGCATGGGAGAAGCATGGGTGCACACGAGGCAAGTGTGGCACCTCGTCCACCACCCTGCTGCAGGTCACCAGAATGGCGTCCTGCGGGGGAGGCGGGGAGCCATGATGGCCATACAACACGGAGAGATTGTGCATGGGAGACGCATGGGTGCATGGGAGAAGCATGGGTGCACACGAGGCAAGTGTGGCACCTCGTCCACCACCCTGCTGCAGGTCACCAGAATGGCGTCCTGCGGGGGAGGCGGGGAGCCATGATGGCCATACAACACGGAGAGATTGTGCATGGGAGACGCATGGGTGCATGGGAGAAGCATGGGTGCACACGAGGCAAGTGTGGCACCTCGTCCACCACCCTGCTGCAGGTCACCAGAATGGCGTCCTGCGGGGGAGGCGGGGAGCCATGATGGCCATACAACACGGAGAGATTGTGCATGGGAGACGCATGGGTGCATGGGAGAAGCATGGGTGCACACGAGGCAAGTGTGGCACCTCGTCCACCACCCTGCTGCAGGTCACCAGAATGGCGTCCTGCGGGGGAGGCGGGGAGCCATGATGGCCATACAACACGGAGAGATTGTGCATGGGAGACGCATGGGTGCATGGGAGAAGCATGGGTGCACACGAGGCAAGTGTGGCACCTCGTCCACCACCCTGCTGCAGGTCACCAGAATGGCGTCCTGCGGGGGAGGCGGGGAGCCATGATGGCCATACAACACGGAGAGATTGAGCATGGGAGACGCATGGGTGCATGGGAGAAGCATGGGTGCACACGAGGCAAGTGTGGCACCTCGTCCACCACCCTGCTGCAGGTCACCAGAATGGCGTCCTGCGGGGGAGGCGGGGAGCCATGATGGCCATACAACACGGAGAGATTGTGCATGGGAGACGCATGGGTGCATGGGAGAAGCATGGGTGCACACGAGGCAAGTGTGGCACCTCGTCCACCACCCTGCTGCAGGTCACCAGAATGGCGTCCTGCGGGGGAGGCGGGGAGCCATGATGGCCATACAACACGGAGAGATTGTGCATGGGAGACGCATGGGTGCATGGGAGAAGCATGGGTGCACACGAGGCAAGTGTGGCACCTCGTCCACCACCCTGCTGCAGGTCACCAGAATGGCGTCCTGCGGGGGAGGCGGGGAGCCATGATGGCCATACAACACGGAGAGATTGTGCATGGGAGACGCATGGGTGCATGGGAGAAGCATGGGTGCACACGAGGCAAGTGTGGCACCTCGTCCACCACCCTGCTGCAGTTCACCAGTATGGCGTCCTGCGGGGGAGGCGGGGAGCAATGATGGCCATACAACACGGAGAGATTGTGCATGGGAGACGCATGGGTGCATGGGAGAAGCATGGGTGCACACGAGGCAAGTGTGGCACCTCGTCCACCACCCTGCTGCAGGTCACCAGAATGGCGTCCTGCGGGGGAGGCGGGGAGCCATGATGGCCATACAACACGGAGAGATTGTGCATGGGAGACGCATGGGTGCATGGGAGAAGCATGGGTGCACACGAGGCAAGTGTGGCACCTCGTCCACCACCCTGCTGCAGGTCACCAGAATGGCGTCCTGCGGGGGAGGCGGGGAGCCATGATGGCCATACAACACGGAGAGATTGTGCATGGGAGACGCATGGGTGCATGGGAGAAGCATGGGTGCACACGAGGCAAGTGTGGCACCTCGTCCACCACCCTGCTGCAGGTCACCAGAATGGCGTCCTGCGGGGGAGGCGGGGAGCCATGATGGCCATACAACACGGAGAGATTGTGCATGGGAGACGCATGGGTGCATGGGAGAAGCATGGGTGCACACGAGGCAAGTGTGGCACCTCGTCCACCACCCTGCTGCAGGTCACCAGAATGGCGTCCTGCGGGGGAGGCGGGGAGCCATGATGGCCATACAACACGGAGAGATTGTGCATGGGAGACGCATGGGTGCATGGGAGAAGCATGGGTGCACACGAGGCAAGTGTGGCACCTCGTCCACCACCCTGCTGCAGGTCACCAGAATGGCGTCCTGCGGGGGAGGCGGGGAGCCATGATGGCCATACAACACGGAGAGATTGTGCATGGGAGACGCATGGGTGCATGGGAGAAGCATGGGTGCACACGAGGCAAGTGTGGCACCTCGTCCACCACCCTGCTGCAGGTCACCAGAATGGCGTCCTGCGGGGGAGGCGGGGAGCCATGATGGCCATACAACACGGAGAGATTGTGCATGGGAGACGCATGGGTGCATGGGAGAAGCATGGGTGCACACGAGGCAAGTGTGGCACCTCGTCCACCACCCTGCTGCAGGTCACCAGAATGGCGTCCTGCGGGGGAGGCGGGGAGCCATGATGGCCATACAACACGGAGAGATTGTGCATGGGAGACGCATGGGTGCATGGGAGAAGCATGGGTGCACACGAGGCAAGTGTGGCACCTCGTCCACCACCCTGCTGCAGTTCACCAGTATGGCGTCCTGCGGGGGAGGCGGGGAGCAATGATGGCCATACAACACGGAGAGATTGTGCATGGGAGACGCATGGGTGCATGGGAGAAGCATGGGTGCACACGAGGCAAGTGTGGCACCTCGTCCACCACCCTGCTGCAGGTCACCAGAATGGCGTCCTGCGGGGGAGGCGGGGAGCCATGATGGCCATACAACACGGAGAGATTGTGCATGGGAGACGCATGGGTGCATGGGAGAAGCATGGGTGCACACGAGGCAAGTGTGGCACCTCGTCCACCACCCTGCTGCAGGTCACCAGAATGGCGTCCTGCGGGGGAGGCGGGGAGCCATGATGGCCATACAACACGGAGAGATTGTGCATGGGAGACGCATGGGTGCATGGGAGAAGCATGGGTGCACACGAGGCAAGTGTGGCACCTCGTCCACCACCCTGCTGCAGGTCACCAGAATGGCGTCCTGCGGGGGAGGCGGGGAGCCATGATGGCCATACAACACGGAGAGATTGTGCATGGGAGACGCATGGGTGCATGGGAGAAGCATGGGTGCACACGAGGCAAGTGTGGCACCTCGTCCACCACCCTGCTGCAGGTCACCAGAATGGCGTCCTGCGGGGGAGGCGGGGAGCCATGATGGCCATACAACACGGAGAGATTGTGCATGGGAGACGCATGGGTGCATGGGAGAAGCATGGGTGCACACGAGGCAAGTGTGGCACCTCGTCCACCACCCTGCTGCAGGTCACCAGAATGGCGTCCTGCGGGGGAGGCGGGGAGCCATGATGGCCATACAACACGGAGAGATTGTGCATGGGAGACGCATGGGTGCATGGGAGAAGCATGGGTGCACACGAGGCAAGTGTGGCACCTCGTCCACCACCCTGCTGCAGGTCACCAGAATGGCGTCCTGCGGGGGAGGCGGGGAGCCATGATGGCCATACAACACGGAGAGATTGTGCATGGGAGACGCATGGGTGCATGGGAGAAGCATGGGTGCACACGAGGCAAGTGTGGCACCTCGTCCACCACCCTGCTGCAGGTCACCAGAATGGCGTCCTGCGGGGGAGGCGGGGAGCCATGATGGCCATACAACACGGAGAGATTGTGCATGGGAGACGCATGGGTGCATGGGAGAAGCATGGGTGCACACGAGGCAAGTGTGGCACCTCGTCCACCACCCTGCTGCAGGTCACCAGAATGGCGTCCTGCGGGGGAGGCGGGGAGCCATGATGGCCATACAACACGGAGAGATTGTGCATGGGAGACGCATGGGTGCATGGGAGAAGCATGGGTGCACACGAGGCAAGTGTGGCACCTCGTCCACCACCCTTGCTGCAGGTCACCAGAATGGCGTCCTGCGGGGGAGGCGGGGAGCCATGATGGCCATACAACACGGAGAGATTGTGCATGGGAGACGCATGGGTGCATGGGAGAAGCATGGGTGCACACGAGGCAAGTGTGGCACCTCGTCCACCACCCTGCTGCAGGTCACCAGAATGGCGTCCTGCGGGGGAGGCGGGGAGCCATGATGGCCATACAACACGGAGAGATTGTGCATGGGAGACGCATGGGTGCATGGGAGAAGCATGGGTGCACACGAGGCAAGTGTGGCACCTCGTCCACCACCCTGCTGCAGGTCACCAGAATGGCGTCCTGCGGGGGAGGCGGGGAGCCATGATGGCCATACAACACGGAGAGATTGTGCATGGGAGACGCATGGGTGCATGGGAGAAGCATGGGTGCACACGAGGCAAGTGTGGCACCTCGTCCACCACCCTGCTGCAGGTCACCAGAATGGCGTCCTGCGGGGGAGGCGGGGAGCCATGATGGCCATACAACACGGAGAGATTGTGCATGGGAGACGCATGGGTGCATGGGAGAAGC